GCAGGTAAAAGATTATTTTATTCAGCAGTAGCTCTCATCAACAGCTTTCTCACACTGTCCGCCCTGTCTCGGCTGCTTGAGCCAGCGGGTCTCACATGCAGCTGTGCGGCCAGCTCTCCCTGCCTTCAGGGCCAGCAGCTTAACTCTTTCTCTCGCTGGGCACAAGTGAGCCAAGCTGTGTCCTGTGTCCGTCTTTGCAGATGGACAGCTTTGGCTCTCTCTCTTACTTTGAGCGCCAGCACTCTTGCACAGTGTCAACAGGGCAATTATATCTTTTACAGACAATAGTGGCATAGAGCCAAGTGATGAGCTTTCCTTATGTTACGGCTACAGCAGTGAGCTTCTCTATGTTATGTCTACATGGCTATGATAACAAGTGTAGTTAAATGCCTGTAATCGAAACTCGCTGAGTCGCTCTGGATGTTTATCTTGGTCTATTCCTTGACCAAAGCACAGCCATGTTCCTTACACAGACATTTCCAAGTTCTTTGGAATTTGTGAGTAGTGAAGCCTTGGAAGGAGATAAAACCAATGGGCCCTTCTGGCAATGAAGTCTTCAACCTAATTAGCACCAGGCTGTAGCTAATGGAGAGCACAATCATGTATAATGAGTAGATTAAGCTGCTTTCGTTGAGAAACCCAGAAAATGCCTGTAAATGCATATTTTCCCACATTAGAAATATGTTATGTGCCCTTCTGTATGTTATCTCTGATGAAATGAATGAGTTTACTCATGTCTTTCTTTTGGAGCAGAAATTCTAGAATGAAACTGGCAAAAGTGAGGCCTGTGATGGAGTGCTGCTGGGACCCCTGCTGCACCACACAGGCTAGCACACATTTCAAAGGAATCATAACTTCCACACTCCTGTGGTCCTGCCAGCTCAATTAGAGGGCCAGCCTGGCCTTCTTTATCATGCCCTGTGGGAATACCCTTTGATATTGCTAAGGATCCTAAAGCTGAGTGAGAGAACAGAATGAAAAGCTGACCCCAGGAGAGTATTTGATCTCTGAGTTGGGTCACAGTGAGAGCAGACACCTGACTGTGAGGATAGTCTCATGCTAACTGAATCTATCAGTCTGGGCTAACTGCAGCCAAATGCAGGCAGGTGTTTACCTAATCTAACCCTTGAATGACTGGCTGTGTACCAGCAATGAGCATATTCACTGAGCCTGGAGTTCCAGATAATCATAATCTCAGGTCTGCTTTCAGAAGCAGATTTGTTCAGGTTCTGTATTAAGATTTCTTGCTGAAACTGTTGTAGAAAACAAGAGAACCTGTCTAACAGACCCCAGCACCTGAATCAGAGGAAAAAAACACAGGACTCTTTCAACTTCAGCCACTCCCACCCCACCACCACTTCGCACTTAGATCCCGAGAGTGCTAGCCTTTTCTCTTACTGTCTATTTTAACTGAGAGAAGAAATTAGGGTGGAGGAAAATGAAGAGATGAATAAAACCGGATGCAGAAGGCAGAAGGAAGCATGGATAATGAGGCAGGTTTCTGAGTGGCTGTTATGCCTGGGGCAAAAAAATATTAAAACCCCATGCAAAATAAAAGACTATTTTGTCTCCTTTGTACTTGTGACCTCAGACAACCAATTTCCTTCAGTACAGTTAAAGGCTGCAGCATAATGTGATGAACATTATTACTGCCAACAACCAGCTTCTCAGGCGTTGCTTGGTGGAAAGGCAAAGTAGCCATCTATTAGTCAGCTTCAAGGCATGCTTTCCTCTCCTCCTGTACTAGTAAATGGCCCTTGCAGTTTATACAGAGCCACCTCCTTCTGAATTTCCACAGTATACACAGAGCCTGAGGTCCCACAGTATGTACAGAGCCCCTTTCCCTCTGAGACTCCACAGTATAGACAGAGCCACCATCTCTCTGAGGTTCCAAAGTTTATCCAGAGCCCCCCACCCACTCTAAGGTTCTACAATATATAGAGAGCCAGCTTTCCTTTGAGGTTCCACAGTATATGCAGAGCCAGCCTCCCTCTAAGGTACTGTAGTAAAGAAAAATAATGATAAATAATAAGGAAAAAAAGAAGGAATAAGCTAAATTAGATGCACTTCCTATCTCTATTTGGTACAATTTTTCAAAAGCAAGCAAAAGATTGAAATATGAGAAATGGAGAGACAGTTTATCTGTCCCACAAAAAGTTTTAAAAAACCCTGTAACATCGTAACCATTTTCGGTATGAAGCAAATGTTCAGAATCCTTATAAACATGACATAATGTTCAATGATTGGCCTCAGAAAAGAAACTCATATAAAAAGCTGCTAGAGGAAAACAACAAATTGAGGCCCATTGCAACATAAATTTATGAAAAATTATAGTGTCTAATCTCTAAAAAAGGAAACTTCAGAAATCTTTTTGGATTTCAAGAATTAGTTTTTTCCTAAACCAAACAGCATTAGTGATCATCCATTTATATTACATAGAGCAACCATCAGGAGATCAGAAAGACCACCTTCAAATATGGTCTGTAAGTTTGTAGGAACATTTGCTTTTGTAGCAATAACACTGCTGTGTGATCCACATGGATTGTTTTTAGTTCCAAAATATAGTACTCTGTTGGGACAGAATTGAAGGAAGAAATTATTTTCTCTAGTTAATGCCTCAAGTCAGAGACCTTCCTGAATCCAGCAATGTTGCTAGCAGGATTGCCTATAAGCATAATGTATGACACACAAGTAAATATGGCAATCATATTTAAAACAAGACCTGGGTATGGAGTTCCATTTTTACTTACTGTGCCATTTGCACTAATAAAGGTTTCACAAAGAAGTCCTATTCAGCCTGAGTGGTTCTAGCCACACCTTAGAGAAGAATGAGACAACTGTTAATGGGAAGTCATGTTCTTGGGTTACCTTAGCGAAAACAGAAAAAAAGAATCATGGTGTTAGGTTTTTCTAAATATTAAAATAGAAAAATATGTCACTGTTGCCTACTGACATAAAATTTTTTAAAACCATGCTCTGTTAGAACTAGAAGGACTTGGGCACAAGACAAAGTGGGGCCTGAGAAAAGTCTGGGTTTCAGAGGGGACCTCTGGGCATCATCATCAAGGCTCAGAAGCTATAGGGACACATCAATGCCAGTGGAGCTGGAGCAAGGAAGTCCTGTCTGAAGGCAGGGTGGTGTGGAAATTTCCTAGGCTATGCTTTAACATGCAGAGGCCAAATAATCATCAACATGTTTCTGGAGATAGGATCATGGGAGGAGGAAGGCACTGATTTTCTGGGGAAAATATGATCCATCTCGGGCCTTAGATTCTCTATAAATAGTATCCTTCCCAAGGTTACGCCTCAGTGGTTATTGCCTTTTTTCTCTGTGCTTTTATTTTGCAATTGTCAACCAAATATCAGGAAGAACTACATCTAAGCCAATGGAGACCTTCTGGTGTTAGGGTGAGATAAGTGTCATGAACATTTAGGGTCAGATTCTGTTTGTATTAAAATCTTTGATATTTTCTTCATCATGGATTTGGGATCATTGCTTTTTCAAAAATATGACATAAAATATTACTTATCTTGACAACCTATTTTTTTACCCCCTCCTTAAATGTTGAGCCTGAGGTGAGTGCCTCTCTCTTGCCTCATCCTGGTCCCATGATTTGGCCTTGACATGTCTTAGGATATGATTTCCACAGCAACAGACTAAACTGATGATCCTATGGGTGGTCATGGAGTTTAGGGAATTGTACCTCTGGTGACACAGAAGAGGCACTTTCTGCCCCAGGACCTAGGAGAGATGGTAAGAAATCAGTGAACTTCCATGGCTTGGGTTTTTGGATTGGCCACCTCTTCATAGACACTTTTATAAATGCAGTGTAGTTAAAATCAGTGTAATTTCTTTAAAAGTAGAAACCAAACTCAGTCATGTTTTGATTTAGTACTGAAAATAAATGAGAATCCATTTGCTCTTGGACTGAAATGAATCCAGCCGTTTTTATCATCCTCTATTTGCTTGTCAATGAAAAACACTTTTTGAAACATAAACATGATAAATGGTTCAAAATTAATTTGAGAGTTATGAGGTGAGTTGTACATAATAAAACAGAAAAATGGCAGCAAGGAACACTTTTCTGTAGAGAAATAAGAAATCTATCCTATAGAGAGAGTTGCTGAGAGTTGCTTTTTGCTGTGCAGCTTATGTTTAATCCCCACTGTGGTCAATAGTCATCAGGATTTTGAAGGGCTCGGTATAAACACAGTCAAGATTGTTTTTTTCTAATGACTCTCTATCTTCTCCCTTGACGTGTTTTCTTTCCCTTTAGAACCTTGTCCTTATGACCCTATATATTGTTGCAAACAACCTGTAATGTGCTCCAGCTGCTTTTCTTTTTGTCTCCTCACCCCATCAGTCAGGACTGGCTGTAGTAATAGCTTGATCATGAGTTTATATTCTCATATCTAGAGGTAGGTAGTCCATGACTGGTAAAAATTATTTTAATCAAGGCCCATGATTACCCTGAAAAACTTATGTAAGGAAGAGATTCATACAAGTTTTTTTTTTAATTATATGTCTTTAATACCCATAAATACGGGGTAGAACATGATGGGTGTATGGTACATTGCATGGATAGAAAAAGAAGAGAACTGGGTGGAAGATTGAAGACTGAACATAGATTCTAACATTTAGGAATTAAACTGGACACAATCCAGAGGTCTGGCATATGCTGAGTTAAAGTTAGACCAAAGGGCTGCAATGCATCTGAAGAAAATTAACTCTAGAATTCATGCCTCAAGTGTGGATTAATACAGAAGCAAGTGTGAGGCTGTGAATTAAATCTCTCAGTATAGAATATCGGTAGATGTTAGTGATAGGCAATAAGGCACAAAATCATAATTAGAAAAGATCTCATCAGGAAGCTAAATATGGTAATTTGCTTTGCACCAAGGGAATATAAAAGGATAAAAATTTTATCAGACTCCTGGGAGAATGGGGAAAAGATACAGGTATTTTTCTACTGAAGCTTTTCTTTTTATTTTTTAGGAGTTTAGGAGGACATACGTATCTCAAAGTATTCCAAGGACTCTAGTACTGTGTGGAAAATATATCCTGCAGCTGGGCTTCCTGCAGCTCAAGAAAGAGATTTCCATGCCAAAGTAAGTTAACTAAATAATAAAGGGCATCCACATGAAGAGCTAGTTAAACTATTAAACCTCTTAAAGCTTGCCTACCAGTCACTGTGGTATCAATGGGAACATACAGGTTTTAGAGAAGACAGAATGGATTGAAATCCTGACCCTTGACATTTACTAAATATTGATACATAACTTTGGGAAACTTATTTAACCACCCTAAGCCTCTTCATCATTCATACATCCAGCATTTATTTATTTGCTTATTTATTTTTTTAACTTTTTAAACTTTTGCTTTAGGTTCCAGAGCACATGTGCAGGTTTGTTAAATAGCTAAATTGTGTCATGGGAATTTGTTGTATAGATGAAATAATCTATATCACCCAGGTGATAAGCATAGTATTTGATAGGTAGTTTCTTGATTCTCATCCTCCTTCTACTTTTCACCCACAAGTAGATACTCTCAATGTTTAGCTCCCACTTATAAGTTAGAACATACAGTATTTGATTTGATATTACTGCATTGGTTTGCTTAGGAAAATGCCCTCTAGTTCCATCCATTGCTGCAAAGAACATGATCTCATTTTTTTTAATGGTTGCATAATATATCATCACGTATATGTACCACATTTTCTTTATTCAGTCTACCATTGATGGGCATTTAGATTAATTCCATGTCTTTGCTATTGTGAGTAGTAAATGAACATATGCATGCATCTGTCTTTATGGTAGAATAATTTATATTCCTTCTGGCATAAACCTAGTGATGCAATTGCTGGGTCAAATGTAGTTCTGTTTTAAGTTCTTTGTGAAATTGCCAAACTACTTTTCACAATGGTTGAACTAATTTACATTCTCACCAGCAGTGTGTAAGTGTTCCCTTTTATCCACAATCTTACCAGTATCTGTTATTTTTTTGACTTTTTAATGATAGACCTTCTGAATGGTGTGAGATGGCATTTTATTGAGATTTTGATTTGCACTTCTCTAATCATTAGTGATGTTGAGTATTTTTTCATATGCCTGTTGGCCACATGTCTGTCTTCTTTGAAAAAAATACCTATGTCCTTTTCCAACTTTTTAATGGAATTGTTTGCTTTTTGCTTGTTAATTTGAGTACCTTATAGATTCTGGATTTTAGACCTTGTTGGATACACAGTTTGCAAATATTTTCTTTCTTTTTTTTTTTTTTTGAGACAGAGTTTCGCTCTTGTTACCCAGGCTGGAGTGCAATGGCGCGATCTCGGCTCACTGCAACCTCCGCCTCCTGGGTTCAGGCAATTCTCCTGCCTCAGCCTCCTGAGTAGCTGGGATTACAGGCATGCGCCACCATGCCCAGCTAATTTTTTGTAGTTTTAGTAGAGATGGAGTTTCACCGTGTTGACCAGGATGGTCTCGATCTCTTGACCGCGTGATCCACCCGCCTCGGCCTCCCTAAGTGCTGGGATTACAGGCGTGAGCCACCGCGCCCGGCCTTTGCAAATATTTTCAATCATTCTGTAGGTAATCTCCTTCCTCTGTTGATAGTTTCTTTTGCTGTACAGAATATCTTTAAAGTATCATTTGTCAATTTTTAATTTTGTTGAAGTTGTTTTTTGGTGTTTTTCTCATAAAATCTTTACCAGTTTCTATTTACAGAATGGTATTGCCTATGTTGTCTTTCTGGGTCTTTATAGTTTTGGGTTTTACATTTAACCCTTTATCTTGAGTTGACATTTGTATGTGATATAAGGAAGGGGTCCTGTTTCAGTCTTCTGTATATGGCTAGCCAGTTATCCCAGCACTATTTATTGAATAGGGAGTTCTTCCCCCATTGCTTGTTTTTGCTGGCTTTGTCAAAGATCAGATGGTTGTAGGTGTACAGCATTATTTCTAGGCTATTTTCTGTTCCATTAGTCTATGTGTCTGTTCTTGTACCAGTACCATGCTGTTTTGGTTATTGTAACCTTGTAGTGCAGTTTGAAGTGGGATAATGTGATGTCTCCAGCTTTCCTCTTTTTCGCTAGGATTGCCTAAATAGTTTTTTCTAATTCTGTGAAAAATATCATTGGTGTTTGATAGGAATAGCACTGAATCTATAAATGGCTTTGAGCAGTATGGGCATTTTGACAACACTGATTCTTCCTATCCATTAGCATGGAATGTTTTTCCATTTGTTTGTGTCATCTCTGATTTCACAATCAGAGGACTATTTATAATTCTCATCGTAAAAATTTTTTTGTGTCTCTTGTTACCTGTATTCTTTGGTATTTTATTATTTTTCTGGCTATAGGGAATGGTATTATGTTCTTGGTTTGGCTCTCAGATGTTGTTTGTGTAAAGAAATGCTATTGACTTTTCTGCATTGATTTTGTATCCTGAAACTTTTCTGAAGTTGTTTACTGGATCTAAGAGCTTATAGGCAGAGATGAAGGGGTTTTCCAGGTATAGAATAATATCATCTGCACTCAAAGATAGTTTGACTTCCTCTCTTCCTATTTACTTTTGTTTCTTCCTCTTGCCTGATTGCTGAGGCTGGGACTTCTAGTACTATACTGAATAAGAGCAGTGAGAACGGGCATCCTTCCTTGTCTTGTTCCAGTTCTCAAGAAGAATGCTTCCAGGTTTTGCCCAATCAGTATGTTGGCTGTGGGTTTGTCATAGTATTTTGAGGTATGGCCCTCCAATGCCTAGTTTGTTGATGGTTTTAAATATGAAAGACATTGAGTCTCATCAAAAGTCTTTTCTGCATGTATTGAGATGATCATGTGGTTTTTTTTGCTAGTCCTGTTTATGCAATGAATAAGTGAACAAATGTGATTTATTGATTTGTGTATATCGAACCAACTTTGCATCCCAAAGATAAAACCTACTTGATCATGGTGGTCTAGCTTTCTGATGTATTGCCACTGGATTTGGTTTACTAGTATTTTGTTGAGGATTTTTGCATCTATGTTTATCAAGGGTATAGGCCTAAAGTTTTTAGTTGTGTATCTGGCAGATTTTGGTATCAGGATGATACTGGCCACATTGAATGAGTTGTATATGAGAAACATATTCCAGGTATATAATTTCCTTTCTGACTCTCAGGGCCTCAGCTGGCACCATCTTTTGAGGGTTTGATCAACTGACATGAAGTTCTTCATAACATTGTATCAGATTTCAGGCTGCTTCTGAACTGGACCCCTCAAAATGGGACATTAAAAAAGCCTTCTTTTAATGAGATCAATTATGCGAACATTTATTTTTAGGACTTTAATAATGGTATTTTCTATTACTTCTTTTACTATTATATTATTTAAGTTTGTGGAATAGCATTCATTTCTCCAAAATATAGTACATTCATGTCATAGTATAGCAGAGTCACATTATGAGTAGAACATGAGCAGTTTAAAAAAAACAAACAAACAAAAAACTTTTTATTAAAACAGTTAAGCTGAAGTAAATAAATATTCCATATCCATTAAAGAACAGAGTTTTGGAAGTAATCCTTGAGATGGTCTACTTATTGCTAGAGGATCTGAGATGGCTTTACTAAATCTTAGAACATCTCATCTTTTTCCTGGGTTTACATTTAATTCACATAAAAACTCTTCGAGCTGAGAACATATGTTTCTCTTCTCTGTAACATGTTCTGTTGAAGGCTCTTACTTGTAAAATCTCAGTCTTATTTAGATTTTGTTTTTCTAAACATTGTTTAAGCATAGTGTAAATCATTATAACAGACATATTGAATGGTTTTCAACCTAAGGTTTTTTACTGGTTTCATGTCAATGTGACTTTTAGTTTGTGTTTTATTGATGATAATTTAAAAAAAAAAGCGCTCAACATTGCTAGGAGAGTACTGTTCCCAAACAAGGATATAATCTTTTAAAATTATATTGATTTCTGCCAAGAAACCAGAGTCAGTTTCATATTTTGATTAATTTGAAAAAATATTTGATTTCATTAATTCAACTTTTTCAGTAAGTTCTTATTGTCAGAGGTGCTTGGGTAATAATCCTCACTTTACCATTTTTGGATTTACTTTTTTCTCTACGTTGCATCCACTGTGTTGTTTTCCCTAGTGTGTTTGTTTTCTTTTTCAGTTTTCCAGCTCCTTGTCTTGTCTTTCTCCTATTACTTCTGCATAGACAGGCTCTAGCTGGCCAGTTAGTTTATGGTGGTTCCTCTTCTCATGACCCTCACTCTCACAACATACTTCCACCTCACACACAGCTTTGAAGCCACTCTCTGCATTATTCTGCAGAGATCTGTGTTCTGTTTTTTCTTATCTGATACACAATAACAAAATGGCATTTAAAGCATGTTAGCTTTTTAATCTTTTATGTTTTTAGTTAAATGCAAAAATAAATAATTATCTATCTATCGTCTATCTACTTATCTATAGCCAAAGGATGGCTGCTTTCCATTTAAAATAGATTTAAGAAAAAAGAAAAAAAAAAGAAGAAGTAACAGAAAGCAGCTCTCTCTACCTAAGCGATGAGTCTTTTTCTTGCTCTATAAATATCTGGGACTTGAATTAAAAGGATTGAGCTGCTGTTCCTGGATGTTGATGATTCTCAGAGTGGAATCTTATCGACTTATTGTTTGAAAAACAAGCTTCTCATATCCTCCAAAAGTAGTTTAAGTGTATGTGTGGAGGTGTCTGGGTGTATGTTATTACATTAGACAGCGGATGGCATGGTTTTACTGATGGTATAAAGAGACCGCATGTCTCTCTGAAGGGAATTTATTGCCATTGTTCAGGTTAATGTTTTTAATATCAGAATATTTGTTATTGCCAGTGAGGTAATGTTTAAGTAAATCAATTGTGCCACTTTATTATGCAATTGTAATGAGGTCTAGGCCTTCACATGTCCCTTGAGTTTAAGTTTAGCTCTTGGAGTTGACTTTAAGCAATTTCACTGCCTTCCTCCTTTTCTGGATTGATTGGAATAAATAAATGGTGTAGTGTTTGGTAGGTAGGGAGGGTTGTCCTAAAAGCTTCATGCTTGTGTGATGATGCCTCTTTTTCCATCACTGGCTGAGATTCCTTTTTGTCC